CCGAGGAGCAGGGAGGGAGAAGTCCAGGGCAAGCGCCCCAACTCCGCTGCATGGACCCAGAAATGCGAGGGACCACGCTCGTACCCGGCTCCCGACAACACTGACCTACGGCGCCCGGGAAGGGTCGCTTCGTTCCTCGCCAAGACTTCCCCTTCCGCCAATCACCGCTTGCGGCCCGCCCTTCCCGTCGCCGGAAGCAGCCGTTGCCCCGAGCGACTGCAACGTCCGGCTTTCCAAGTTGGCGGCGGGAAAGGCCATGAGTAAAGGCCGGGCCGAGGCTGCGGCGGGAGGTAAACGGACCGCGGGCACGGGGGAGACCCGGGCGGGGGGCTGGCGAGGGGTCGGTTGAGTGACCTCCCCCCATGCCCCGTCTCCTCGTAGCCCCCGGGATTCTCCTGAGATACCTGCAGGAGCAGAACCGGCCCTACAGCGCCCAGGACGTGTTCGGGAACCTGCAGCGGGAACATGGACTGGGCAAGGCGGTGAGGACGCTCTCCTGGGACCGCCCCCCTACCCTTGGGGCCCCTCGAATCAGCCTGAAGTGCTGCCCTCTCGAGGCAGCCATTCTAGCCTTGAGCTTCCTAAGGCTGGCGGCCCTAATTCCCGCTGCCTGGGCCCTAAATCATCCCTCTGATTGGTTCTGCCTCTCCCCTCTGCCAGGCGGTGGTGAAGGCGCTGGAGCAGCTGGCCCAACAAGGCAAAATCAAAGAGAAGATGTACGGCAAGCAGAAGATCTATTTTGCGGACCAGGTGAGGGAAACCTGTGCAGATTATCACCCGTGTGAGGCCCGACATTAGGTGAATCAGTCTCTAGAATGAACTCTGACTTGAGGCATCCCGTGAAACTCAGCTAGCCCACGCCATTAAAAGGGCCCCACACACCCTTTAAATCAAAGTGGGTACTCCCCTTGCTGTGATCCAGACTCAACGAGACTTCCAGATCTGAGATGTACATGATAGATGACAGAAGATCCTGAATTGTTCCTACCAAGGTCCCTTTCCGCTTGGAGGTTTCTTTTTCCCAGTCATCTAGATCAGAACCATCATCTGGCAAATGATTTGCCTTCTGTCCCCACCCCTCCCAACACAGATGACACTAATTTTGTATCTCTAGGCCAGACCACCGCCCGGATGCCTTCCAGACCTTGCAGAATCAATATTGCTGAAGTAGAATGCACATCTCCCCTAAATGGGCTCCTTTTACAGGCTTCTCCCTCAGTTAGAGCCACTCCTCACCCAACTCAGAGACTGGGGAGTCACTCTTACCTCACAGCTTAGGCAGCCAGCAAATCCAGTTGGCTTTCCCCCTTCCTGAATCCACCCTCCCCTTTCTGTCTGCCATTGCTGATTGAGTTCAGGTGCTCCTCATCTATCATGATAGCCTCCTCACATCTCCTGGCCTCCTCACACATCTTAAACGCTGCAGCCATAATGGTCTGCGTCAGTACTATCTGGGGCCATTTCCCTACTTGAAACTCCAGCACTCCCTACAACAGGGAGAAATCTACATAGAGACTCGGCTCCAGGCTGCTGCTAGCCTCACCTGTCCCTTCACCAGTACTAGACCATTTAGGTGTATTTTACTCCTGTGTCCTTCCTCTGCCTGGAGTTTTAAAATCCCTTCATCCTCTTCTGCCTCTTTGCTCAGTGAACTCTTACTCCAAGGTTCTCTTTCAGGCATCGCCTCCAGAAACCTTCCCCGGATTCTCTCCTCGCCTCTTCTTCAGGCACTCACCTCCCTGAGGGATGCTATATTGTGGTGGTCTTTTTACCCATCTCCTCACTAGACTTCAGCCCTTCCAGGGCTGAGCCCACTTCTCACTCTTCCTCCTTTGCTCAGCACAAGCCCCCCCCCCACCCTAGTATCTAACGTCCAGTAGACCCCGAATACTAGTTTAACTGAACCACACCACTATCAAGACTAACTTTTCTGAAATAGGTTTCATTACATTACTACTCTAATGAAGAGTCCCTAAGGGAGAATTTGGCAGCATTTTTTCTGTAAAGACAATTTTGTGCTTTGCCGGCCAGATGGCCTCTTGTCATAGCTACACAACTGTCACAGCCACTGAGGGCCGTCATTATAGAGCAGTATGTAAATGATCACATGTAAACGAGCAAACATGTAAACGAGTGGGTGTAACTGTGTTTCCAGAAATTGTTTTCACAACCCCGAATGTGGCAGGATTTGGCGTGCAGGCTGTAGTTTGCTGCCTTCTGCTATAAAGGTTTACTTTGCTTTAATGAAGAGTCCAAACTGCCCAGGCTGGGATTCCTATTCTTTCTAACCTGCTCCCTGACATCACTGACAAGACCACCCCACCCCCCATCCCGAGCCCCACCAAAGTCCTTTGTGGCAGCTGGTCTCTCTCAGGGGAGGGGCCCCTCAGACGTTTACTGGAGTCCCTTCAATACCACCCACCACGACTCTTGACCTGCCCAGGTTCTTCCTACTGTGGAAATGTGTAATTTAGCTATCACTACCTTGGGAAGAATGTTCCTTTACTCTTTTAGCCCAGTGAGTGGTTTTACCACTAAACTAAGATTTCTGCCCTGTTCAGTATCCTGAAGCCCCTTGAAGACAGGCATCAGGTTTTAACTTTTTTATACCGTTTTGTTTGTTGGGACCAGTACCGAACTGAATGGTGTCTCACAGGGACCCTCCCGCTGTTCTCCCAGGCCCCCTGGAGGGCTGGGGAGCCCCAGGTTCTTGAGCGGATGTGATGTGGCCTGCCCAGATGTGGCTTCACATCACACCCACCCACTTCTGTTTGTCGTCTCACCTCTGGCAGGACCAGTTCGACATGGTGAGTGACGCTGACCTCCAAGGCCTGGACACCAAAATCGTGGCCCTCACTGCCAAGGTGCAGAGCCTCCAGCAGAGCTGCCGCCACATGGAGGCCGGTAGGACTGGGCGGATGCCGGAAGGGGCCCCTGGCTCGAGGGTCAGTCCAGAGGGCAGGAATCCCTAAGTGAATGGTTTGCTGACTGCAATGTTGTCTCGCTGCAGTGGAGAGCTGGGCTGGGCCGCCACTGGCATTATGTTACAAGAGACGTAAACGCTAATGGCTTTTGAATATAAATGGGCAAGACACGCATTTGCTTTCCCTGACATGATCAGTGTACTGTGCCCACACTCCCTCTGTGCCTGTTTCTTTAACTGGCTACAGGGAACAGTCTGTTCAACCTCACACTTTACCACTGCTTGTAGATGGAAGAGGAAAGAAAATCAGACTAAACTGGTAATTCTATAAGCCTTAATCTCTGCTGAGCGCAATTTCCAGAATATGGAACTCATTCTGGACCCTGGGTGTAGAACCTAGAGCAAGGTAGGGGCCCAGTCTCCTACCTCAGGGAGCACCCTCTGGGAAAGACAAAACCCCATCATCAGGGTAAGAAGCGACCTCAGGGAGATGTGGTTTCAGAGCTGAAGGAGTTAACTAGTGCCCTGACCACACCGGAGATGCAGAAAGAGATCCAGGAGTTGAAGAAGGAATGTGCTGGCTACAGAGAGAGACTGAAGAACATCAAAGCAGCCACCAACCATGTGACTCCAGAAGAGAAAGAGCAGGTGAGTCAGGAGGAAGGGTGGTAGCGGGGAGGTCTGCCCGTGCGGGTCTGGAGTGAGGCCGAGGTTGCCCCCCAGCAGCCCCTGAGGGGCTAGAGCAAGCTGTTTCCCTGTGCAGGTGTACAGAGAGAGGCAGAAGTACTGCAAGGAATGGAGGAAGCGGAAGAGGATGGTAAGTGCGTGAGCTCCGCAGCAGGCCCTGGGAAATGGCAGCCACCGGAGAAACTGCTGCCTGAGGTCATGGGTCCGCCAGGCAGTGCCGCCCGTCTGAAAAGGGGTGGTTTTGTTTCTTGTCAGGCAACAGAATTGTCTGATGCGATCCTTGAAGGATACCCCAAGAGCAAGAAGCAGTTCTTTGTAAGTGGTTCTCTCTGTCTCTCCCCTCCTTGCCACCCTGGGGTCTTCGTCCAGGGAGGTCTCGTTTACTGGTCTCCCTGCCCCAGGAGGAAGTTGGGATAGAGACTGATGAAGATTACAACGTGAAGCTCCCAGACCCTTGAGGAGTCCTCTGCAGGATGGGGGAATGGAAGCGACGTCCTGGACTGGCTGCCTCCTTCAGGTTGGCTTCTTTGTTCCTGCTGCTTTCCACCTTTGAGCAGAGCAGCTGGGAGAGGTTCATGAACCAGAATACAGGGCTCAGGGAGTGAGCAAGCCCAGAGTGGATGGTTGTCATGCTCGTTTCATCATCTAGATTCCAATTGCTTGCACTTAAACTTGGAACAACGCTAAAGGAAAGCATTTGGCAATATTTATTGTACTATAATTTGATATAAAAATAATTTCCTCTGGATAACCAAACCTCCCAGATGTCAACCCTGAGGAAGGCTACTGGGTAGAGAGAAGCTAGTATACACAGCATTCGAGGAGCCCAAGGCTTTACCCAGGACTTTTCTGGGCTCTGTACCCCAGGAGGTCTTTAAAGTATCTTCTCTACCCCTTCACGCCACTCCCAAGTCCTGGGAGAAACACAATCAGCACTGAGATGGTGGAGACCCAGATATGCTCGACAGGATGGCTGGGAGTGATTTTGAGGCCCAGTTCACTTTCAAAAATTGTAACTTTAGCAAAATTGCGATGTTGGTGTTTAGAATATTAAAAAAAAAATTAATATGTAGTGCTGTGTCACATGTAACTTCTCTGTGCTATGCTCCTGCCTGTGGGGACAGAGGGGGCAGGAGTCTGTGGGGGAGGAAGGAGAGGGGATGCAGTAGCAAGTGAGGGCAGGAAGCCAGTAGCCCTGCCCTGAGCTGGCCAGAAGAGGCCTGATCTCACCTTGGGCTGACCAGGCAGCCCTAGCCGAGGCACAAGGAGGCCTTTCACCCCTCTTGGCTGTGGGAGTATTTCCTCATGTTCCTCCCTTCCCATCCAACTACTGCCAAAATGGCCAAACTTGGGCCAAATGTTGCCCAAGAGACCAAACCAAATGCAAACAGTAGCTTCCCAATATGTGTAATCAGGAGCAAAAATCTGAGGATTAGAAGGGGAGAGACCAGGAGCTCTTATGGGGGGAGGGGGGGTGTCCCCAGAACAGGGTCCCCCCCTCCCGAAGACTTCTACGGAGAAGGGGAAAGACAGTAAGCTCAAGTTCTGTGGTCAGTATAATAAATTAAAGCTTTCACAAAACAAATACCCCAGCCCCAGTGAGGATGAAGGGGTGCTGGGGAACCAAACACCGAGAACCAGCTGACTGGTGTGCAGTGTTGCAGTCCAATCTCATAAGCCCAGTGGCTCCGTGGCCAAGTAGGAGACTCTGGCCTCTTGTTGGCTCTTCTGCAGCTTCCAAAACCCAGTCAGTACAGCTGGTTCTTCAGTTGGTGCAAGACGCCAATCACAATCTCCCGTAGGGTCTGGCGGGGGCAGCAGAGGAAGACACGAGTGATGCTCACGTGAGGACAGAGGCTCAGATACCTGCCTGGACCAGTCATGCTCTTGAGTACAACAGAAAAAGCCCCTGGGAAACACCGTTTACAGTCGACTCTGAAATGTCCCCGAGACAGGACAGAGAAAGGGATGGAGACATGGACAGCTATGTGGTAAAGCAAATACAAGAAATGGGAATGGTAGCATTTAGGTGGTGGGCACAGGAGTGTCCACTCTGTGTCACAGGACACTTAAAGTGGTTCCAGAAAATGTCAGGAAACAAAAAAGTGAGATGCAAGTCAAGCCTCAGAAACTCCATGCAATACCGTTAACAACACATGGCTCCATTACAAATAATCACAAACCCCAGGGAAAACTAGTGGGCCTGGGGGTGGGAGCCAGGAATCTTTCTAGAAATTCCACATGATTCTGCTATGAGTGATGAGGGCTTACATACTAGGCAGCCATAACGCGAGCTAACAAAGGCCAGAGCGAGGCCTTGCCTGAGTTAAGTGCCCACATCATTCTTGCCAAATGAAACCTTAACAGGAAAATGTGGGCCAGGAAGCAAAGAAGAGACCCTCCAGAAACCTAAAAGTTGCCACCTTCCCTCTCTGAACAAATTAGGACTTGGGTCACTTGGCCTGAAGGAAGACAGAAAATCCGCACCCCTTGACCACTGCTGCCCCATACCTGAGGCTTACAGTGCTCCTCAATCCAGCTGAAGACACAGGCTGACAGCTCCTGGAAACTGGCCACGGAGATAGAGGCATTGAAGGACTGGAACAGTGAGTCCATGATGCCTTGAAACACATTGAACTTGACTTGGTCAGAGACCTGGTCATCTCCCTCATGGGGATTGTCCTGGTGTGCCTTCACAATCTGCTCATAGTTCCTGAAAGCGAGTAGGACAGGGCTAAGGTGCTATAGCAGCTCAGGTCACCCTATGTACTCCCCCGGCCCCGGGAAGGGGTTCCCGGAGAGCTGCTGGGACAGAAATGGGTGACCCCTCTCTCTACCCCTCGCTAATCCCACAGGCACTTTGAGTATCTGCTAGGTATCAGTGACTGTTGGGGTGCAGAGTCCTACCCCTAAGTGGCCACCTACAGGAATGAGAAGATTATCTGTTCTGTATTCTCTGATGTGGCCTTTGAACAAGAGAAAGGTATGAACTGAAGTCAGCTTCAGAGTCCCCTCAGAAGCCCTGGCTCCCCGAGCTCAGCATCCCCCCCCTTACACTTTCATGATCTTTAGGGCCGTGACGTCCTTGCGTAGCATGGACACCTCCTCCTCCTGCTTTTTCTTCTCCTTGTGCAAAAACTGGATGTAGTCAATAGCTGCAGTGAGGGTGGGCACAGAGGATGTCTCAGCCAGAAGGACAAGGTTTACTTTGTTTCCCCCTCCTCCCTTTCCCCAACTCTCCCATTATAATCACCCCACCGGGGCCAGGCCGAAAGTGAGTGTAAGGCTCTGGCCTCCTCACAGCACCACTGGCCCCAACCACTCCCAGTGCTCTCCCTGGCCATACTCTTCTGTAGAACGATGGCTTTGCTGAGCTTTTGGGAGCCAATGGAGAAGTCCTGCTGCTGGCAGGTGGGGACGATGGTCTGGAGGTCATCATAGCCTCTCTGTGGAGACAGGAGGGAAAACAAGGGTTCCTTAACTCCAAGGGATTCAGGCAAACTGGCACAAAACTTTCTGTGAACCCAAGTTCCATGCTCACAAACTCAAAGGGGTAGGGAACTAGAAAAAAGGAGGTGTTCATATCCGGGGACTAGAGCAGCTGCCACCAAGGATGCTGGGGACTGATGAGGGCAGGGTAGATCTGAAATACACAGGGCCCTCCTGCATTGGCTGAGGTACAGGCCTCCCCAGTCACCTTGATGGCGTCTCTCCTCTTCTGCTCAGCCTGAGTGTGTGCTCGCCGCCGCCGGTCCTTGTAGGACTCCTTGTAGGACTCCTGGTGGTAATCACTGTCCTCATCATCTACGCTCAAAGTTGGGGGCAGGAAGAGGTCATTTTGAAGCCCAGTGGGCCCAGCTAACCCACCTTGCCCCAGTGGGGAAGAAAAAACTGGTGCTCAGAGACAGCAAACGGACAGAACCGTCTAATATTCTAGATGAGGTGAAAGATGGTGAGACCCTGTGTCTAACACTAGGCCTCCAGCACCCCCGTGTGGATGACTGGAGCTTCCTGTCTAGGAAATATACTAAAATGATGGTATATCTGAGCCCCCCCCCAGGTGGGGGCATGTTGCTGCCTACCTGTATTGGGGACAGAAGAGGCACTGGTGGAACCGATGCTATTAGCTCTGGACACTACACTCCCCTTTCGGGTACTTTCTACAAAAAGCCCTGTAAAAGAGAGGTCCCAATCACTAAGGGGTAGGACAGGAGGACACTGTTAGACCTTCAGACACCTGTGTGTACAATGGCTTCCTGATCCTTAAATGCTGACCTCTCCCTTTCAACCCAAAAGCTACCCATACTGGGTCATCCACTTCCTGCTGTGCCCCACCACAGTGCTCCTGTCTCTGGTGTCTCCACTGCTCCAGGGGCCTGCAATGATACCACCGGTTCACAAAGTGGCATCTAGGCACAACGAGGGTGACAGGATGGCTAGCTCCCACTATTTTCATCATTTCCTTGTTTCAGAGCAGCAGGAATTATACCCTTATGCTTCCTGCCCCTTATGCAGCTCCTCCCTCATTGTCTCAGGGCAGGAACTCCGCTCAGGGACAGTGGACTGTGCTCAGGTGTGGCTGGCAAGACCACGGGACTCCACAGGACTGTGGCAGGAGTGTCACCAGGGCGCTAGAGACCGTGGGAGAGGTACTCACCGGGGTCCAGGCTGTTGTCACTGTAGGCATACTCCACCTGTGACACCAAGCAAAGGAGCTCATCAGACCTCCGCCCGGGACTGGGCACCTCCTCTCATTCTGAGCGCGTGCGCACTCGTACACACACCATACACCCCTACCACACACACCTCTACCCGCCCCAACACCCCACCCCCACACCGAGAGCGCAGGCAATTGCAGGATGCACGCGTGTACGTTCACTTAGACTTACACACGCACTCACGCACGCGCGCACGCCTGGGGTGCGCAAGGGTTTGCAGGATTGCCCCGATAGCAGTAAGCAGATAGGCCATAGGAGCACCGCCCCCACCCCCTCCCCCCCCCCCCCGCCCCCCCCCCCCCGCAAGCCCGGTCCCCTCACATTCGTGCACACACGCCTCACTTGTCTCCCCACCTTGGCACGCGCAGGGTGAGGGCTGTCTTCTCTGCAGCCCCGGGGCCCGGAGGGCGGGGGGACCTTTGGGGACTGCAGGGAATCCCCTAGTCTTCGGGACCCCCCACGTGCATGAGCCCGACCCGCCCTCCCCTCGCCGGCGTACGCGCCCGCGGGGCTTGCCTTGACCCAGGGGTCGTCCGGAGAGGCAACCGGCTCCGTCATCTCCGACCCACCGAACCGGAAACCAGCCAGAGGGCGGGCCCCCTGCCGCGAGGAAGAGGCGAGGCACTTCCACGTGACCCAAACCCACCAACCCACGAACGAGAGGCGGAGGGCGGGGCACGGCCCGCGCATGCGCACCCGGAAAACTGAAACCGAGGGTCAGGAGCTGCGGGGACTGGCGTCGGGGCTGACACAGACGTTGTCCTTCCCCTCACTCGCCCACACCGCGACATGACGCACATTCTGTAAAATGGAGTCCCCGCAAAAGGCTCGTCCAAGTAGTATTTCCGAGAGTTGTGTGCACGCGCTGTGCTGGACCCGCGTCTTCCAGGGACTGGTGTCCAACCCCACCCTGCCGGCCCTGCAGTCCTGGCCCCCTCGGCCGACCCAGCACGGCTGCCAGGTCCGTGAGGCCGGAGGCCCCGCCTGGCTCGTGGAAGGCTGGTCCTCCAACACGTAGCCTGGTACCTGGCAGGAGACCAGTGGAAGAAACGCTTTCAAAGAGCCCGTTAGCCCAGTTAAGCCTCTTCACAGATACAGAAACCGAGGAACCTAGAAAGTCTGTAGCTTCTCCCGAAGCAGACAGCTGGTCAGCGATGGGGCCAAGGCTGACCTCAATCTGGCTAGCTGCAAAAGCTATACTCAGAACCACTGCACTCCAGGCTTCCAGCTCAAGGCTTCCAAAGAAAGATACCTAGAGGCATTGGGGCAGGACGCAGACATACAGGCAGCACCTGGCAACATTGACCTTTAATTGTTACAATTTCCAGTGTTTGCCCTGGCCGCAGTGGGCCGAAGGTTTCACAGACACTGTGGGCAAGAGTAGGCACAAAATGCCAGAGGGGCCTGCTCCCCTCTGAGTCGCATCCTCAGCGATGGCCAAACACCAGCAAGCTGGGTAGACTTCCTGTGTCCACCAGGCCCAGCCTTGCCCTTCCCAGTCTGGTTCAGAGTCTCTAGGCCCAAGCTAGGACGAGCACCCAGGCCCCCATTCCTCCTCACCGCTGAATCTCTGGGCAGCTCCAGGGCCACCGTGGCCCCACAGAGAACACTTTGTCAGCCATGGGCCTTACGGCGTCTGGGAGATACGCTTTTGCAAGAGAGCCCAAGCTTTCTCCACCTTTGGGCAGGACAGAGTGTCAGGAGGAAGAGAAGACAGAGTCAGGCAGGCACCCACTGGAGACTCCTTCCCTACAACCCAGCCCTTTCCTGGGCACCAACCTGGCATTGCGTAACATGTGGTTCCCATAGGGTGCTCAGCACCACGTGGCTCTGGTCCACGAGCTGTTGCCCACTCATCTGGCTCTGCAACCGGCTCTGAGCTGCAGCTTCACTCAGGCCATCCCTCTCCACAATGCGTCGTATAGCCTGGGCACGGAGAAGGCATCGGTCAGCCCACTGGCTCAGAGCGGGCTGCGGTGTGCAGTGGGGATGGGGTGAGAGACAGGTCCAGATACCTCAGTCTCAGGGATGACAACGGTCCACACCTCATGCACCATGTTCTGCCAGCCGGCTTCAAGCAGCAGGGCGGCATCAATCACGCACACATGTTTTCCTGCGGGGAGACCCCAGTCACTGCCAGCAGCACACTGCCACTTGCCACCAGAGAGCCGGTGAAGCCTAGTCCCAAGGAAGTGGAGGGTCTGGCTCGGGGTGAGGAAGCTCCTAGGAGGAGAATCTGCTTAATGTCCCCCTTGGCTGCTCCCATCAACCCTCCAACTCACCCTCAGCCACAGCCTGGTTCATCTCCTCTCGAGCCAGTTTTGCGATAATTGGCCACACAATATCCGTGAGTATCTTCAGCTGCTTCTGAGGAGGGGAACAGAGGAAGCAGGCGATTTACCTTCCCTTGGAGATGGAGCCAGCCCGAGAGAGGAGGTGGTGGGGAACAGATGAGTGGAAACGCACTCTGAACCAGACCAGAAAGGTCCATTCGGTCCCAACCTCTGGTTCTAGTAGCAGCTGAGGAGTCCTTGGAGAGAAGCGTGCTTACCTTGTTCCCAAACACCCGGCTGCCTAGGACCTTCCTGTTGATAATGCCATCTTTATGGAGAATATCTGGACGAGAGACACAGGACTGGGCAAGGAGGCCAGGCCATCCCCTCACTTTTCAGGCCACTTCTAGCCCTCCCCAGGCATTACCTGCTCCAAAGGCTTCCACAACAGGCTGGTAGGCAGGACCCCCTGGGGCGTAGGCCCGATGGCCCAGGTGGTCACTGTCGATGATAAACGCCCCCAGGCCCTTAAGCCGCTGAGCTACTGAGCTCTTCCCAGAGCCACTGATGCCCGTCAGTCCAATCACGTAGAGCTGTGTGGGGAGTTCGGGCCTCTTCTGGAGGTAGAGGAGAGGGAACCCCAGTTACTAGGGTCTTCAGACTCATGCTTGAGACTGAAATCTTCAGTCTACTCTCCAGCATTTCCAGCCCACCCAAGCAGAGGAGAGAGAGGACAGGCATACATATGGAGGCCGAAGCAGCTTTCCCAGCATTCGTTGGCGGAAGGTGGAGGAACTGACTTTGTCCTCTTCATTGTCTGTATGGTTTGGGTCCTTCAGCAGCTGGATCTGGTACAAGGCAAGCTCCTCCAGACCCTGAGGTTAAAGAGGAGGGGTGAGGAGAGGGAACGAGGGGCAGGAGGACAATGACATCTGAGCTGCCCCCTTATCCTCCCCAGAGGTAGAGCCTGCCTCCAAGGGCAAGCTGGGAAACAGTTCCTTCTCGCCTCTTCCTCACCACCCCAAGTCCTCTCTTCACTCCTCTAGAGTCACGGTACTTCCAACAGCCCCCTACATGGCCTTCCCCAGCCCCATCCACTCCCTCTGCCAGTCTCCCTCAGGGGTTACATTCTCAAGACGGAAGCGGTTGACGGCCATCCCCCCACGATAGGTCTCCTCGCTGACCACCAGGAACTCCAAGGAGGGGTTAGAGCCAGCGGGCCCATAGGGATCCAGCAGGGGGGTGATATCAAAAGTCAAGGAGGGCTTGATGTCCACCAGGAACTCACTCAGATGTTCCACGCGTTCTGTGTAGGGTTGGAGCAGCTCAGGGAGCAATTTGCCTGGGGAAGGAGCCCAGTGAGATCTTTTTACTGGGGAGGAAAGGTATAGTCAAGTTTGGGGAAGACTATCCCTAAGCATCCAATCTCCAGAGGGGGGTGGGTGGCAGAAAGAAAGGGCTAAGCTGGGAAGTGCTGTATGTCAGGGGAGCAGTGAAGAGGGGGCAGCCAGCAAGCACGACAGTCATGGCAGGGGCTGGCATGTGTCCAGAAACGAGCAGTGCCAGGGAGCATCAGAGTCAGATGGAGAATTCCAAGAACCACCCCAACCACGAGTCACCTCTTGCTGTAGCTCTAACACACTACCTACAACCCACAACCCACTCATCCATTTACTCCCAGGGTCTCAATCTTTAGGGTTCGTGACCCGGAGAACTTCTCAAAAGTACAGATTTCCTTAGTTCACATTTGGGGAAATTCTGATTTGAGTGGTGAGTAGATTACACACGGAGAAAGCTGCACTTGTTCGTTTAACATAGTTTCCTTAACACCCACTGGGTGCCAGGTGCTGTTATATACGGGAGGGGTGGGAAGTAAAGGATGCCCCCCCCTTCCTCAGTCTTGGCACTGGGGGCAAGGTTAAGGAGTTTTGAGGGTCCTCCCCTGCTCTACTCCAGAGTATCTCTCACTCACTCTTCAACAGGTCTTTGTCCGCTACTCCCACCACAAGCTGCTCCTGGGCCAGGATGCACGCGACACTGAGCAACACCTTGTGGGCATTGTGCAGGCGGTCAAACGTGCCACCCACAGCCCCACGGTGGTAGCCACGCACTGGCTGCTTTGGAGACCTGGCCACGGGAGAGGCTGGCCTGATGGTGGAGGGTAAGGGGACATCCAGGGACTCCACAGACAGCTCTCCGGGCCCATAATCGGGGTATAGCAGCACCGAAGCCAGCTGGGGACAACAACTGTAGCAGCTGGTGGCATAACGCTCTAGCTGTTGTTTGACCGGGTTGTACTGGCTCCCATCCAGTGTCTGGAAGTCAGTCAGCACCACTTCCGGTGGGTGGGCCAGGTTCTGGACTGAGCTGGGAAGGGGAGGGAGAAAGGCACTCTTGGCTCCTATATTGGTCAGCAGAACTCTGACATCCAGGTGCCTGTGGACATCGGCGCCAGCGTAGAGGTGCGTGATGAAATCCAGGACCTCAAACGTGGCCTGCACGAGGCTGGACTGGGGCTGGGCCGGGCCCCCCAGGCTCATGCCCGGCTGCAGGTGTACGTAGAGCGTGTGATTCACCAGCCGGGCCGCCGAGGTCAGGATGGGGGCCAGGCGAGGGGCCAGGGAGGCGAGCGGCGTCGTCAGCACCAGGAGGCCCGACCGGAATACGGCCATGCTGCCCAGGCCTGCGGACAGCCAGGAAGACGAGGCGTGGGTGACCGAGGGGTTATGTGGCTGAGGCCGAAGGCAGTCCGGGGCCGTGGGCCCAGGAGAGGGGACCTGGCGCAGGGACGGGGTCTCAGTGCTGATCCAGAGGAACCCGGGGGAGGGCACGGGGCCTCGGGGCTATGCGCTAAGCCCCGGTTTCCACATCTCTCAGACGGAGCGGTGAAGCTGCTGAACTAAATCCAAATCCTGAGCAGGGAAACTGGACAAAAGCCCCTGAGTCATAGGGTTGGGAATCCAGAAATCCTGGGCCCTGCTGCCAGGCTGTACCAGGGTCTTAAAGGAATCAAAGGAGGACACTAGAGGGAAACACTCCGGCTCTGAACGGTCTTCTACTTACTGAGACCTCTGGGCTTAGGTTCCGCTAGGGCCGCCGCGGAGCCTTACCTGGCTGCGACCCGGAAACAGTAGTTCAGCGCCTGCGGCCCCGAGCTACGGAACGGCAGAAAGGCCAAAGTATTTACTAGGTTCGGGAACCTCGCGAGATTTTGTAAGGAGTAGGGCGTGTCCTGCTGAGGAGGTGGGGTGGAGCTCGGAGGCTGGGGGAGCAGGTGAAGCTATTTATTTCCAGATCTCAACAATTCCCAGGTCAGTTGGTGGAGGGCGAGGCGGACCTGAAAGCTGATTTCACGGATGCCCTTTTGACCCTGACAGCAGAGAATGGCTTCAGCCTGGTTACCCAGGAGATAGCGGCGAAGGCAGAACACACACCTGAGTTTCCTCTTAGTAAGTTATAGGACATAGCACCTGGGTGGCTCAGTCGGTTGAGCGTGGGACTCTTGATTTTGGCTCAGGTCATGATCTCACGGTTTGTGAGTTCAAGCCCCGCATCTGGATCCGTGCTGACAGTGTGGATGGAGCCTGCTTGGGATTCTCTTTCTCCCTCTCTCTCTCTGTCCTTTCCCCACTCTCACTCTCTCTCTCTCTCTCTCTCTCTCTCTCTCTCTCAGAATAAATATAAACATTAAAAGAAATAAATTACAGGGACGGAGGTGGGAGCCCCAGGACTCAGAGTCCCTGGAACCCTCCTGGTGCCCATCCACTCCAAGGATCCTCTTGTGGGAAGCCACAGGACAACTCTGTCCAAGTCCCCATTTCACAGTTGGGGAAACTGAGGCCCTCTATGCTCCAAGGACATACGAGGAAGTAATGACAGAGGCCTGGTCTTATGGCTCCGTGGGATGCTCTCCACACCACTCAGAACCAGTTTGAGGGAGGGAGGAGGAGGAGGAGAGTTCTGCATGGCAGCTGGGTAGAGTTGCCAGAGGATGGTCTTCAGACAGGAGAGAAGGGGAGGAAGGAGGGAGACCTAGGGTCAAGGGTTTACTGTGAGGCCAATAGGGCTGGAAAGGCTGCAGTCGGTAGTCTCTGTGCAGAGAGGAAACCAGGTTGCCATCAGGAAATATTTCAAGTAAATTGTTCACAGAGATCTCAAGAGGGAAGGAAACCAATCTCCCAAGATTCCAGTATCGTGCTGTGGTTTATTTCCCCAAACTAAGCAAATGCTCATTTTCATAGTTATGTGGAGTTTTTAAAATTCTTTAAGTTTATTTATTTATTTATTTATTTATTTTGAAAGCACGAGAGAGCACCAGTGAGGGAGAGGCAGAAAAGGAGAGGGAGAGAGAGAGAATTCGAGGCAGGCTCTGAGCTGTCAGCTCGAAGCCCCACATGTGGGCTCGAACCCAGGTACCATGAGATCATGACCTGAGCCGAAATCAAGATTCCGACACTTAACTGACTGAGCCACCCAGGTGCCCCCTTTTTTGTATTATTAAAGAGGTGTCCCAAGGGGCGCCTGGCTGGCTTAACTGGTGGAGCAGTGACCCTTGATCTGAGGGTTGTAAGTTAGAATCCCCACATTGGGTGTAGAGATTACTTAAAAATAAAATCTTAAAAAAGAAAATAAAATCAATAGAGACGTCCCAAAGGTGTATAAGCCTCTGGCCCCACAGAGCCTGGATCTGCCCCTGGAGTCAAGGATTGGAAGAGTTATAGAGCCACAAAGGCATTGAAGCCAGCTTCAGACAGGAGACGACTTAGGTTGGATTTTAAAGAGAGGACCCCACATGAAGAAGCAAACTGCAGCCTCTCAGGAAATGCCCTGAAACACCTGGGCGCAATCTCACAGAGTCACTGTTGGAGATGTGAGTGCCAGCTGACTCTCAAGCTGGCCCTGGGCAATTGAAGGCTGTCCTTAGTACACACTATTCCCACAGCAGTAGCTTTGAGAGAGCAATGTGTCGTCGAGAACATCTGGATGGTATATGTGGCGGAACCTATTTAAGGCCTCTACATAAACTATTAAGATTCTGGTGGGCAAGTGCAGAGACCCACTTGTCTTGTAGCCGCCCAGGACAAGTCTCATATGTCAGTTCCCTTGCTAATTAAAACCCCCACCTCCCAATCTGGAGTGCTCTGCCTCTTTCTTTGGTCTCTCCTTGGCCTCTGTGTATGGGAGCCAGTTTCAGATTTCACCCAGGGAACTTGTAGGTTGTGAACCAACAGTCACTTTTATTCAGTAAATGTGGATTTAGTGCCTCCCATGATCAGGAATGGTTCTAGGTATAAGGGATCAACCAGTGAACAAAACAAACCAACGAGCTGCCCTGGAGCTTAAGTTCTTATGTGTCTTGGGATAGGGTGGTGAAAGTTATAGATAAATGTGTAACAATAAAGTCAGCAGGTCAATAAATAAATCTCTGACACATCTAGTGGTGATAAGAGCTATGAAGAAAAATGAAACAGGGTAAGGGAACTATAACTGGCGTTGGTGGTGGGGGGGGAGGGAATGCTACTTTAGATAAGGTCGTCCAGGGAAAGACCTGAAGGAAGAGAAGAATCAGAGATTAGGGAAACTGTACCAGATAGAAGGAATAGCCAGTTCAAAGGCCCTGGGGCAGAAAGCCAGTAGGGCTGAATCAGATGATGGTAAGTGATAAAAGATAGGGTCAGAAAGGAGGTGGGGGCCAGATCAAAGAATGTGTTGGAGGTCTTGGAGAAAAGCCTCTGATTTTACTTAGAAAGCCACAGGAGGTGTTTTAAGCACAGACATGGAATAACTTTCATTTTTAAAAGATCATTCTGGGGGCGCCTGGGTGGCTCAGTCGGTTAAGCGTCCAACTTCGGCTCAGGTCACGATCTCGTGGTCCGTCGGGCTCTGTGCTGATAGCTCAGAGCCTGGAGCCTGTTTCCGATTCTGTGTCTCCCTCTCTCTGACCCTCCCCCGTTCATGCTCTGTCTCTGTCTCAAAAATAAATAAACGTTAAAAAAAAAATTAAAAAAAAAAAAAGATCATTCTGGCTGTTCTGTGGAAATTTTATTTGGTGGGCATGGGTCGCATCAAGGCAACCAGTTAGGAAACCACTGCAATAATCCAGGTGCGGTGATGGTAGACCAGAGTGCATAGACCGGAGTGATTTCCAGAGTATTCCAAAATACCTTCCAATCTTTGAAGACCGAAGGTGTTTGCTGATGCATTGGTTGAGGGATGGGCAAGAAGGAAGAGTGGAGTTGTCGGGTGCTGAAGTGGGGAAGACTGGGGCAGGAGCAGTGGGAGATCTGGAAATCAGAACTTGCGTTTGGACACATTAAGTTTATTAGGGATCAAGTGGAGCTGTTGAGTAGGAAGTTGATGTGTGTCTGGAATTTGGGGAAGCAATACAGTTGGAGATATTGGAGACCTTGGTGAGGCTCATGGGTGCATAAACAGTCCTCGAGGTCATGGGACTGCAGGAGACTATTAAGAGTATGAATGTGGGGCGCCTGGGTGGCTCAGTCAGTTAGGCGTCTGACTTTGGCTTAGGTCATGATCTAGTGGTCTGTGAGCTTGAGCCCCACATCGGGCTCTGTGCTGACAGCTCAGAGCCTGGAGCCTGCTTCGGATTCTGTGTCTTCCTCTCACTCTCTCTCTCTCCCCCTCAAAAATAAATAAATAAACATTAAAAAAAAAAAAAAGTATGAATGTAATTGAGACACCTGGCTGGCTCGGTTGGTGGAGTGTGTGATTCCTGATCTTGAGGTTGAGGGTTCGAGCCCCACGTTGGGTACAGAGATTACTTAAAAATAAAATCTTAGGGGCACCTGGGTGGCTCAGTTGGTTAAGTGTCTGACTCTCTATTTCGGCTCAGGTCGTGATCTCACGGTTCCTGAGATCAAGCCCCTATCTCCCAGTCGGGCTCTGTGCTGATAGCAAGGAGCCTGCTTGAGATTCTCTCTCTCTGTCCCTCCCTTGCTCACAGGCTCGCTCGCTCTCTCTCAAAATAAACATTAAAAAAATTAAATTTAATTAAAAAAATAAAATCTTTAAAAACATTTGGAATGTAAATTCATGGAGGGGTCACACTTTGCCTTTCTCATCATTGCATCCCCACCCCAGGGTGCGACCTTGTGAGTGTATGCATACACACACACACACACACACACACACACACACACACACTGGGGTGCAAAGGAACAGACTGGGGGACAAGAGCTGGGCTCTGAGAGGTCTCCGAGATTCATGCCATCTTGGCCCTCTCCCCTTCCGGTGGCCTTTCTGGATCCTGAAGGGACAGCAGAACCATATGGGCCATCAGGGCAGGGAGACAGCAGGGATGAGCTGGCTGAGGCCCCCTGTCCCAGGAGTAGCCAGCAGTCCAACGCCCAGAGTGGATGGCTACCCGGAGGTAGTGGCAGGTCCAGATGCTGCACCTCCTTCCCCTCCCCCCAGGTTCCAAACAACCCCCCAGCAGTTTCCCCTCTATTCTGGCTTCCCAAGATCTCTGTAGCCATGGCCCTGCCCATTCCAAGCAGTCATTTCCCTCCCTCTCCCCCATCTCTTAGGCACCCCTACCCCTGTCCTCTACCCGCACCCTCCTCATCTAGTACCCTCCCTGTTCACCCCTTCTTCAGCACACTACTTCTCAGGAAGTTAGCAGGAAATTGACCCCACAACCCTGCAAGCCCTTTCTCTGGCTTCTGCCCCTGGCTTCAGGAAGGAGGATAGCCCACTGGGCAGGCCAGCCTGCCCTGGATCCTTAGCTGAACCTCCTGGTGAGTGGCAGCTTCTGGGCTGGTGGTGATCCCGCCAGCTGAGTTCTGTCTAGGGCAGGGGACACGGAGGAGGATGTGTGGAGCTGTAGCCTTTTAACTCACTTGGCCTGTTTCTTCTCTACACATCGGGCTTCTGCACACGAACACATAATAGTAACACCACTAAGAGTAGCGGTAATAGCGGTGCCTGCTATTAAAACCTCCTTCCCAGCACTTCCAGGAATTATCTCAACCCTTCATACAACCCATGACATAGGTCTTATACCCATTTTACAGTTAAGAGAACAGACTCAGGATAAGGCCCTTGCCTGAAGTCTCCTGACTAGTGGGGGCCAAATCACAAACGGACTCTCCTCCTTCCCAGGTCCGCCTCACTCTTGCTGCAGACACCCTGCGGGAATCCAGGAATCACTCTCGACCTTGCCCCTCGGTGGGCTAGCTCCCTCCTCTTTCTGGGCCTCGCTTTCCGCGTTGGTATAACCCGGGCTAGCCACGGTCTTTCCAGATCACCCACCCGCTGCACGCGCCACCTGTCGCACACGTCCGCCCCCCCCCCCCCCCGCCCCCAGAACCGCGCACCCCTGGGGTCGCAAAGGAGGGCGCGGCAGACAGCGGCGGGCCAAGCCTTTATTGCGGGGCGGCGGGAGGAGCGTCGAGCCCGGGGCCGCCCAGGTCGGCAGCGGACTCCTCGGCGGGCTCGTCGGCGAACACCGCGCGGTGCATGGCGGCGACGTAGCTGCGGCCGCTGGGGTCGGTGAGACGCATGCGCACCAGGGGCAGGAAGCGCTCCGTGCTGAAGTAGCGCAGCGCGGGGCGCGGGGCGCGCAGCGCGGCGAGGAAGACCTGGGGCGGCGGGAGGAGGCGCTTGGCCGGGGCTGGCCGCCAACCCCCACGCGCCGTCCGTGCTCCCAGGGCCGCGCCCGGCGCCTACCTCGGTCACCTCCTCCGGGTCCTGCGCCGCCTCGTGGAAGATCCGCTCCAAATGGCGCTGGTAGCGGGAGAAGAGGTCGCGGGTCTCGGCGTCCGCGCCGTCCAGCGCTCCGCCCGGGCCGCCCTCCAGCTTCTCCTGGAAGGCGGTGCGCACCGGGCCGCACTCGATGAGGCTCACGCTGCGGGCATTGAGCGGCGGGTGGGCGGGGGCGCAGTAAGCAGCCGGACTAGGCGGGCGGGGCGGGCGGGAAGGGGTCTGCGCGTGGGCCTCGGGAGCGTTTGAAAAGCGGCTTACAGCGGGAAAGGCCCCCCGGAGTGTGAGGGAGCCGTGTGTCAGAATTCTAACCTGGCAGGCTCCCTTCGGCTGTGTGACCTTGGGCCAGTCACCTAACCTCTTTGGGCCTCCGTTTCCCAGCTGGGTGGCAGAAGTGAGATAACGAGTGCCAAGTGCCCAGTACTGCGCCTGGCACACAACAAATGTGAGCCGCAGTGGAGAGGGACCAGCGTGAGAGTGGCTCCAACAGGTCAGGGTCCTGGGGTTCCCAAAGTTAGGGTTCAGAGGGCTCTGGGGGTGGGGTGGTGACTCACTGGACCCCGAAGGGCGGCAGCATAACCGCCAAACTCTCGCATAGACCTTCGATCGCAAACTTGCTGGCGCAGTAAACGGCGTTGAATGGCAGCCCTTCCAGGGGAGATGAAGCTTTTGGAGGCGCCCGGAGCCCACTGTAGCCCCTGGCACTGTCGCCAGGCCCCACCCCTCCCGCTGGCCCTGCCCCATTCCACGCACCCATCAAGCCACCCATGCTCCCCGTCACCAATACGCGTCCCGAGCGGCGGCGCTTCATGTCCGGCAGGAAGGCCTGCAGTGTCCGCACCGTCCCTGCCACGTTCACGTCCAGCACAGACCCGACGGCGCCAGCCTCCTGCACCTCCAGCGGCCCGAGCAGGCCCCGGCCCGCATTACACACTGCGGGGAAGAGACGCCGAACCCCACCTGCCTCGCCTTCCTCAGACCCAGCCGGTCCCCTTGTGCTCCCGGGGCCTCAGGACATTTGGGTTTGGACATAGGGTGGGGAAGGCTCCTGCATACGTGCTGCGGGGAGGCTCACCCAGCACGTCCACGCGGCCCTCGGTCACGCGTGCCCGGGCAGCGGCCACGGAATCTGCGTCCCTCACATCCAGCTGCAACATCTCCAGGGAGCCAGGAGGGCACCCTCGGGACTGGGCCGCCTCCCGCAGCGGGCCCTGTGCCCTCAGGTCCCGCAGCGTGGCATACACTGGAGGTTCAGGGAGAAGACAAGGATCTGAATTCCCTGCTTACCCCTACCTGGGTCTCCTTGGGCTAGCGACTGCTCCTTTCTCTCTGTCCCAGCCCCTCATATACCTTTGAATCTCTGGGAGGGGTCGGATGCCAGACGCAGAGCCAGGTGCAGGCCGATGCCAGAGGAGCAGCCCGTGATGAGCACCACAGTGCGGTCCATGGGGAGAGGAGCTCGGAGGGGCACCGGGAATGCAAGGCTTGGGTCTCTGAGCTCGAGAGCCCCTGCTCTGACCCGCCTAGGGCATGCCCACCCCTTGTTGTGTCTCCAGCATAATCTCAAGGCTGAGCCCTCCCGCCAGTCTGGGGCCTGCTCTCCCCACCCTTTATCTTGGTCAAAGCAGAGCTGAGGCCACTCCTGGGCATACCCCCTTCTTCAGCTACTGGCCAGAGGGAGGGCAAAGTTTGCAAGCAGATGTGGGCTCGCCTGTGGGCACTGAGTGCCCTGGGCACCCTTCCCCTGTGTGTGCCTCTGTCCCATAGGGACAACGATAGGTTCCAAAGTTTGCTGCTGAGGGTGTGAAAGTATACATTTTGGGGAGGGCATTATCAGTTCCAGGGTCAGGTGTCAGTATTATGTACAGGGAGGCTGAGGCAAGGGGGCAGAGGGAAATGGCATCCACACCAGTGTCCATGCTGTAGCCGGGAGTCCTCCCAGCCATCTCAGTAGTGACGTTTGGACAGATAGGCCCAGGCGATTCACCAGTTTATTAAGTCGTATTAAAACAGTACTTTGATCCCAAATTTGGAGTGGGGGAGGAGAGCAGCTCACCTCCCTCTGCAGTTCCCAGGCTTGGTCCCCCAGCGGGCCTTGAGTTCCTCTGCCCAGGCCTGGGGCCCTCCTGTGATGCTTGTCTAGCTCCAGGCCCTGGGAACCTGCCCAGGCCCGGAATTCGGGAAGAACGCCGCCCAAGGGGTGGTTAATCGGTCACAAGGAGCCAGCCACCAACCGGGGGTAATATCTGAGGAAGAGCTTTTTGGCCAGGTCCACAGTGTCACCGTGGGGCTGGCTAGGATACCTTTGTGTGCTGAGGACAAAGGTCTGCTCCAGCTGGAAGGCATTCTGGTCAAACTGGTGCTGTTGGAAGGGAACGCCTCGGACCAGGCTCTCCACCAGCATCTCCATGAAGAGCCGCCAGCGCGGGGTATAGTAGTCAGCCACCAGCCCCGCCAGCTGCTTGTTCGAGTAGTCCAGGATATTGCCCTCGGGCCCCCACAGGGTCAGCTGGTAGCGGCTGTTCTGCTCATAGAAATGGGCCTCGGCCTCACTGACGGCCGCTGCCCGGGCCTGCTCCAGCCAACTGCCCAGCAGGAAGCGGCTGTCACTAGCCAGCACCTTGTCCAGTGAGGGCAGAAGCTCGTAGACCAGGATGCCCGCCGCCCTCAGCAGGGGAACCAGCTCCTTGTTCAGGTAGGCCGTCCTCGCCTCCCCATAGTACAAGCTGACCAGCTCCTGGGCCGCCTGGCGAGTGACGTCCAGCAGGTCGTAGCGGAAGGTGGGGCTAGTGGCCAGGCTGGGAGTGGTTGTTAGCAGCAGCCGCCAGGCCTCAAACACATCTGATCGATTGTACCAGACAGTGGTAGTCATCTTCAGGGACGGCCTCCTGACCAGGGGGCTGCGATTGTGCCCACTGCAGGCCTCACCAGAGCAGTTGTAGACGCTCCTGAGAAGTAGCCTCCAGGCGGCCTCCGTATTTCCGTGGGAGACCCCATAGCGACGGGCCGCAAAACCAGTCACCCAGGCCTCCAAATCTGCCACTGGGTCCTTCCGCCAGCCCAGCTCCGCCATCAGGGCATAGACCACTTCGTTCTGGCCAATACCCTCCGGGGCCATGCCTGTACCTACCATGGTGGAATTGGGGAAGAGGCGGGCAGCAGCAGGACCTCGGTTCACGGCCTCCAGGGCCCCGAACAGACCGTGGTTGCCCCCAAAGTTATGCAGCATGCACCAAATAAAGGGCTGGCCCTGGAAGGAGGCTGTACGGATGTACACAGGCTGGCTCTCAGCAAACAGGTCCAGAACCAAGAGGCGGCCACGGGGTACGGCCCCCAGCACGGCGCTCACCTGGGCAGGCCCCCAGAACTGGGGCTGGTGCTGGAAAAGCCAACCTTGGAGCAGCCACACGGCGTCAGGGTCCACTGTGGTTGGGGCAGGGGTGGAGAGACAGAGAAGAGGGCTGATGAGAGGAGACGGGGCAGGGGAACATTCACCCCATTCTACAGATGAGGAAACCGGTCCAGAGAAGTTAAATGACTCTATCACAGGACACTCCTTCCCGTCACCCCCAGCCCACGGGGCACAGCATCCCACACAGCCTTCCCATCTAAAAGCTCCTCCTCCCAGCTGGAAGCTCCAGGCCAGTGTTGTCCAGCTTTATGAAGCATCAGAATTACCCAGAAGGCTGGCTAAAACGGATTCCTGGGCCCGAGCGCAAGTCATTCTGATTCAGGAGAATCTGCAGACCTGACAGGCTCTGGGGTGATGCTGATGCCGCCAGTCCTGGATCACGCTTGGAGCAGGCGCTCACTCTCAAGGAAGCCGGAGCCAACGGGTTCCCTTCCTGGCTGACACACAGCCCACCCACCCCTACCCCCCGGCCATTCCCGACCTGGCCCCTCTCTGCCCCACCCCTGTAAGTGGCAGGAAGGAGCACTGGGTTCACATCTGTGCCCCAGGAGGAGCATCCACCGGCTTTGAATACATCCCCTAACCTCTGGCCCGTGTTACCTACCTCAGCTCGGAGGCAGAGGCCAAACAGAACGTTTTCAATGGCCAGCACTTAGTGACTTTACTCTGGGCCGGGCATCATTCTACTTACGAGGGAGCCTCACTTTACAGACGAGGCAACTGAGGCACCGGCAGGGAGGAAGTGGCAGCGCCAGGGCCGGAGCAGGCTGTCTGGCTCCAGAGCTCACCTCTCCACCACAGTGTGATTAAATGAGATGGTGTGTGTGTGCACAAGTACTTGGTAGACCATCAGGTGATGTGAGTCAGTGCGACGGTGTTGTTCCCAGTCTCTTTTCCCACCCCACCGAGCTGTGCCACGCCTCCCCTTCCCACCTCCCCCTGGCACCGAACCTGTGACCATGGCCTGGTAGACAGAGGCTGTGGCTGAGGCAAGGTAGGAGGGCTCCGAGGAGGGGGGCTGCATCTCGTTGAAAGTGTCGGCCCCGTAGATGTGGTCCGTGCCAAACTCTTTGGTCAGTTCCCGCAGGAAGAGGCTCCCAATAATAGGGAAAAGAGGATCTTCCGGAGCCAGGAGGAAGGAGCAGGAGTAGGAGCAGTTGAAGTGTCCCCAGCTGCCCAGCTGGGTGACATTGACCTGAGGGAACACCCTAGTGGCGGGGGGCAATGCAGACATTTACCGGAGGCTGATGTGGCATCCGCGGCCAGCTCACTAGCTTCTCTGCAGTTCCTGGAACCCATCCCAGTTTCTCCTGCCTCTGTGCCTTTGCACATGCTGTGCCTTGTGGCCGGAGTCCTTTCCTCCTCCCTCCCTGCTTATCTAGCTGGTTATTCCTTTGAGTTTCACCTCATCTGGAAAAGCTTCTGCTGTCTCTCCCCCTCCCACGGGCTGAAAGAAGCAACATTCAGCTTTTCAAGATCTGGCCCAGTGCTGAGCCCTGGCTTCCCCGCAGAGGCGGCCCAGACAGAGAAGTGGGCCCATGTGTATTCCCGCCCTTATCCCTGCCCTGTCTCCCCTGTCAACCTGTCACCCAGAAGGAGCAGAGCGCAGCGCGCGCCTTTGTCGCTGCATCCCCAGGACCCAGCACTGAGCCTTGTCTGACAAATGTCTTCTGACTGTATGAATGAGGATCTGGCCACCCAGGCAGGAGGTGAAGGGGTGGCCAGTAAGGCCAGCAGCATGCACTGAGCCCTGTGACAGTCGTGGGAACCAGGTTGTCATGGGCGTGAAGGAGGTGGTAACCAATGCTGGGGGTCCCAGCAAAGCTACCTGAAGGAGGGGAGGTCTCAGCTGGACCTTGAGGAATTTTCCGGTCACAGCAGGGGAAGAGTCGGTAGCACAGAGAAGCAGAAAGGACAGAGAAGACTGGCGCACCCCAAGTGTCACTAAATAAGAGGTGCCACTTGCGAAGACTGTGCCGAGCCACATATACTTTACAAGTAAGGAAACGGAGGCACAGAGCAGTCATGTAATCTGAGTCCAAGTTCATGTTGCTAGTCGGTAGCAGAGCCAGCAATCAAGCCCACGCCTACATCCAGAACTTCAGTTTTTATTTTAATTACGTCTTGCAGGGAAGAAGAAATTTCCTCTCTGAGCCGAGCAGGGGGTGGGGGGAGGAACCTTACCTGGTGATAGCCTTGGGGACATGTCCTGCAAATGCAGGTAACACTGGGGTCATGCCGAAGGAGCGCATCCGGTCCAGGATCCGATGCTGGGGACAATGGAGGGGGAGCTGGTAGGCATGGCCCTGAGGGCGTAGGTCCTCACTCCCCCAGGGCACACAGAGTTCCCCTCAAGGCCCAGTTAAGAGCCCTGAGGCTGGCCAAATACCACCCTCCTTGGCCCATGACTCTCTAGCACTTTCCAGTTCTGCCCCCTTTCGTTCTCCGTCCTTTTACCTGTAGGTAAAGCTGTTTGAGGTGCCAGGAGGGGGGCAGGGGGCCACCCCAGGTGTGCAGGTTGCCCATGCGCCCCCAGGCCAGGAAGGCAGGGCCAGTGAAGTACTCATCGATCTCTGACTGGGTCAGGCCCAAGGCCAGGTACACCTGAGGAGGAGGGCGATCCCCACACATGAGTACACATAGATACATTCGTCTCCATTCATTGACTCATTCATTTCACAAACATTCATCTCTTCTCTGTGCTGAGCCCTGGAGTTACTAAGACAAAATGTGACCCTTGGCAGGAGCCCAGAGTCCAAGAGAAACAGACCTGTGAACAGGTGAGTTTACTAATCTGTCAGCCTTGTCGCCAGGGTGAGGTGAGGCACAAAGGGGCTCTCCCCAAAATGGGGAAGGGGCCTTAGAAGGCCTCATGGAACGAGGCTGGCTAGAGTGATGGGTGGGTGAGGCCAGCTCCACAGGGGCCGAAACGGGGCCCAGTGCAGCCAGAGCCCTCAGGGCCCAGGCCCAGAAGCGCCCAGGCTGGGGACAGCCCGAAGGGGACAGGAGCTCCTGAGTGTGACAGCAGCAGGTCTCCGCCAGATTTGCACCTCAGAAAGGACGCGGCTGGAACTCAGGAGCCAGGAGTCCTGTTCAGAGGCTCTTGTGGGGAAGAGGGTCATTCGTTCTTGCGTGACTGGGGCCACGAATAAGGATAAAGAGCGCTCCTCTGTGTTTTGGCTCAGAATAGAAGCCTGTTTCCAGAGGGCTGGGGCCACCGTGCACGCCACAGACACTTCTGAAGCCTTTAG